ATCCCCACAAGGGTACAATGTGTGAAGCCCATTTCTGGTGTTCCCCGCCGTGATGTTGCTGGAATATTGCTAAAAGCGGCGTAAAACCAAACTCAGTCAGTCAGTCTATATACCAGCTGGTCGGTAAGCTTTAATGCAAACTACTTCATAAATATTCAGACACTCTACATACTTGAACCTTAGATATCTTTACATTGCGGATCTGAACAATACATTGTTTGCATACACATGACTTATTACACAGATGGTTCCTAGCGCTCGATGGCGATGGTCGTGAGTCAGTAACCTTGTACTACCAATGTCGTAAATATAGAAGGTCAGTGCACCCAGTCTTGACTATCCCCAGAAACAAATTCCAAATGTACACAATACAAATTGTATGAATGGATCACTGAAAGTCAGTGATGACACCAGGTGTTCGGGAAAAGAAAAAGCATGTCCCGCCCTACCGATAGCACCCAGCATTCACAAAACTTAAAATGGAAGTATTGGTTGCCCGACGCTGCACACCAGAACTCCTATCATGCGACGGCGGTCTGTACTGACTGAGTTTGGTTTTATGCCGCTTTTAGCAATATTCCAGCAATATCACGGCGGGGGACACCAGAAATGGGCTTCACTCATTGTACCCATGTGGGGATTCGAACCCGGGTCTTCGGCGTGACGAGCCAACGCTTTAACCACTAGACTACCCCACCGCCCCGACGGCGGCCTGTAAACAAACCAGACAATCAAGTGATAATGTGATAATGAAATCTCAATACTACGTCTGTTGTAACCCGCGTTCTTAACGTCAGAGGGCGTGGTGGGATAGCCTAGTGGTTAAAGCGTTCGCTCGTCACGCCGAAGACCCGGTTAAAACCATACTCACTCACTCACGCTTAACGTAAGCTAAGTACAAATACTTCAGTATATCTCGTGTTTTAATTCTACATATAACCCTTGTGCTTTAACGTAACCCCAGTATCACAGCTGTCGTAATTCACGTGTCTTAACGCATCCTTAGTGCTACAGTTGTTACAACAGTTATGCCGTAATGCAATCTAGTACTACTGTCGTGACCCGTGAAGATCCGGGGTAGAACAGGTCTTCAGCAACCCATGCTTGCCACAAAAGGCGACTATGCTTGTCGTAAGAGGCGCCTGACGGGATCGGGTGGTTAGGCTCGCTGACTTGGTTGACACGTGTCATCGGTTCCCAATTGCGCAGATGTTCATGATGTTGATCACTGGATTGTCTGGTCCAGATTCGATTATTTACAGACCGCCGCCATATAGCTGGAATATTGCTGAGTGCGGCGTAGAACTAAACTCTCTCACTCACTCACTCACTACTGTCGTAATACTCGTTTCTTTACCCAACCTACGACCATTGTTATAGTACATGTGGCTTCTGGATTTGGTTTTTGTATATCGCCGCACTCAGCATGTCGGCAATAATCGAGTCCGGACAATCCAGTGATCAACATAACACGAGCATCAATCTACAAAGTTGGATACGATGACATGTGTCAACCAAGTAAGCAAGCCAAGTAACCCGATCCCGTTAGTCGCCTCCTACGACGAGCATGGGTTGCTGAAGGTCAGTTCTATCCCGGATCTTCCCGGGCTATGTCGCTTCTGAAAGGAAACCGTTGAACAAATACTCACACTATGAATCCAAGTGCTATGAATGCCGTAACAACTAAATATTTCATTACTGAAAGTCGTAGAACTGTGGTATTTGCTTCACATTGCGATGTTAGCCCTGTCGTAACCTTGAAGGCGCTTTGTAAAGCGGGCGTCTGGTCGCCCCACCACGACCAACGGGGATGTTGTAACCGCCTCCGTGGTGTAGTGATTAGAGAGTCCGCCCGGAGAGCGGCAGGTCGTGGGTTCGATCCCCGACCGCTTCATACCAAAAGACGTTAAAATATAGTACTTGTTTTTCCTTGCCTGGCGCTCGGCATTAATGGGTGCCACAAGGACTGGTCGGCTCGGAGTCAGTATCATGTGTCTGAGTGGGGTAGTCATGCTTAACTGCGGCATGGTATCTCAGTGAGCTGGCACTTTCAAACCAGCTTAAGTCTGGACTAGTACAAGCAGCCACACATACACTCGCATGCACGTCGTCATATGACCGAAATGTTCTTACGTACGATGTTAAACCCCATTTCACCTGACGTACGGGGGATCTTGTATGGAGCTGCACGCATTCCCCTCCGACTCACGCAGCCTTACGGTATCTTTGAAAAGAATTGTTAAGATTTTAAAGCGTATTTAATTTTGTCTCCAGTGTAACTCCAGTGCTGAATATACCTTTCATAACGACTAATTATCCGAATAAGCTGAATGCCGTCATTTGAATGAAACGAGTCACACTGTGAGCAATGATTGATTTCAATAAAAGCCGGAGTGGTACAAAAAGCATTTAAATACGATCAAATATCAAGTCTTGCGTTAAAAAAAGACTTTATTCCTTTATGGGATATATTGAGGGTGTTTAGACACAATACCGCTATACTGTGTCCCACGCCCCGTGTGTATGAGACGACACAGTGCATGCTGGGAGGGTCACGCGTCACATGCCGGATGTCTGAATCGGCGACGTGTTTTCGACAGGTCGTAATACTCGATGCAACGCCTCACCAGAAATGACAAAAGAGTACAACTTTGTCCGCATTCATACTTTTTAGAGTAACCTACATAACAAACCACGCCCCGCCTGATTCTGAGTGAGTTAAATACCGTAAATCTGGATTGTCATGCGAACTGGAGGTCGTAATGACGTGTTGTTCCTCATAGGCGGATCTAGAGAAGGGGTGTTGGAATGGGATGGGGGTGGGGGGCTACAGGGGAGCGCACCCCACTTTTGTTCTGAAAGTTTATTAAATGACCCATGAAAACCGGTGGAAATAAAATGTGCACCCTCCCTTTCTCAAGAGTGTGCATTCCACCTTTCTCAAAAAGCTGAATCCGCCCCTGTTCCTAAACGATCTTGAAACATCACTCACGGAGGACTTTTGTAAAGGTGTTGAGTTGAATGCTAATGAACTCTATGAACAAACAGAACATGTTCATATTATTGTGTGAAGATTACGCATCAAATACAAAGGTTTACAGAATACATTAGATTCAAAATAATACCATTGTAAAAACTGGAGGAATAATATCAAAATTTCAGAAACTAAAATAATTATTTTTGGTGGGGATCCGAATGGGATTACTAAACACTTTCATTGTAGGCAGGTACATGTGAAATCCTATAATATAACTTGCTGTTATCTTCCCCAAAACAAAGTTTCACGTACGCAGTAACGCTTATCAGAACAAGCCATTAAACCAATATGAAGGGCGGAAATTACTGTTATAAATTGAGTGTCATCGGCGCTTTTAGACGTCATTGGTGTACCAGTTATATGGTGATATATGGGGATTTCAAAATCTTTTTATATATTTGTCTATAAAAGCGTTCGTCAATACCGATGATGACGTTTGGAGGACGTTACTTACAACATTCAGTCACAAGTTACCGGAGGAATCAAACAGGGGGAGGGAAATACCATGTAGTGAAACAAGATGCCCACTTTGACAATTGTGTGGCTCAGGTGACTTAGGTCACTCACGGTTTAGATCATTTAAAAGACAGAGTGAGTGAGTCAGTTTAGTTTTACGCCGCCTTTAGCAATATTCCAACAATATAACGTCGGGGGCACTAGAAATGGGCTTCAAACAATGTTCCCACGTGGGGAATCGAACCCAGATCTTCAGCGTGATAAGCGAAGCTTTAACCTCTATAGGCTACCTGATCGCCTATTTAAAGACGGATGAATGTGTTTAACCCAAACATGTCTCACTTAAATACATTTTATATAACTGAAGATTAGGAACATTTTGGGACCTGATGACGATAAGTTTAAACCTTGAAAGAATATATTATGAATGTCTGCACATACATTCTTAGATGACTGTGTTCTGCACTTGGAAATGATAAGCCTGAATATTGATTTAGGTATTTACTGTAAGATGTACACAACATTTTGTATTATCAAAACTTGGATAGTACTTCTAATGCTGAGAGCAATACAGAGTTTAGTAAACGACAATATGAACTGTGTCACAGCCTGATAAAGAACACTGAACAATCAGCGGAACTAAAATCGTGATCAAACATTGTATATATTTGTATATCATGCATTGTTATATAGCCTATATCACAGGATGAATAAGCACATTTTTAACAGGTGTTTGATAATGTGCTATATTAAGCCGAGGCACTCTAACTGTACTAGCAATAAATCACGTCTCAAGATACAGCCGTAGCTTAAAGCTGTCTTGGTGGCAAACGTTGGGCGAAAATGAAAGTCACCAGATATTTCACCAGAAACCTCACCAAACAGTTCCCCAGAAGACCTACCGGGCATTTCACCAGACATTTTGCCAGACATTCGAACCATTTTATCAGACATTTCTTAAGATATTTCATCACCATTTCATCTTACATTTCATCATACTTTTCACAAGTTATTTTACCAGACATTTCACAGGGTATTTCAGCAGACGTTTCACTAGAAATTGCACGAGACATTTCACAAGACATTTTACCATGCAGTTTACCAGACAATTCACCAGTCATTTTAGCAGACATTTCATAAGACATTTGATGAGAAATTTCACAAGACATTTCACAGATCAATGCATCAAGCAGTTCACAAGACATTGGACAAGACATTTTACTAGACATTTCATCAGACAATTTACAAGACATTTCATAAAAAAAATCAGCAGATATTTCACAAGATATTCACAAGAGAATAGGAAATGAATGCATTGTCAGTAAATCCAACGTGCCCCTTTGTCCTTGTAACGTGTGCTATGTGCAAGGAATCTGTGGATAAATTCATGACGTGTATTTCGTAAGGACTTCCATCGCTAAGATCCTTCATGTCATATTGTTTATCTTTGTCAGTATTGACATATTTACCTATATATTGTACCAATATTTCTGTCTCTGTTTTGCAGGATGAGGTATGTCCAAGCGGTCACCTGTCTCCTGCTGTCAATCATTTCAGCGAGGGGTGTGGTTTCAGAATGTCTCATGACAGATGACGAGTGCGTATTTTACCTCACCATTGAGCATCGCCTGACAATGATGAAAGGTAGCATGGCAGTGTTCCCTTTCGACCGGAAGTTGTACAAGTTTGACGTCACAAACACGTCGGCAGCGACACCTTTGGAACTGGAAGGAATAGTCCAAGCAGACGGCTATGAGCCACAGCGCCTGGTTACAGTTGCCAATGGTACCATGCCCGGACCAGCCATTGTCGTCTATGAAAATCAAACGGTGATTATCCATGTACAAAATGAGCTTTACAACGAGGCCGTATCAATCCACTGGCACGGCCTTCACCAAAAGGGCACTCCGTTCATGGATGGAGTAGCCTTCATTACTCAGTGCCCTATACTTCCGGGTCAGTCGTTCACCTACAAGTTCAAGGCCAAACCCAAGGGTACTTTCTGGTACCATTCACATATGGGAAACCAGAGGACCATGGGGCTTCTGGGTGCGCTGATCATCAAGGAGAAGAAGCCTCCAGTGATGGAGGAAATGGTAATGGTGCTACAGGACTGGAACCACGATGACTCAACGACGGTGCACTTAAAGATGAATTTCGGTGGATTCGAAGACCGAAAGGAGCTTTTAACAACAGATGCTCTCGATGGCTCCCATTTCAGTCGGTTTTTTATGACAAGTGCTCTTATTAATGGCAAGGGCCGTCTCTATGATGAGTTCAATCGTCATAATGGAGCACCCCTAACTGTTTTCACGGTGAGACCAAGTCAGCAGTACAGGTTCCGGGTTATCGCCGGGGGCCATCTCTACCCGTTCCGGGTGTCAGTGCATGGTCATGATCTCACAATCGTAGCGTCTGACGGGTATGACCTTCGTCCAGAAGTCGCAGAGTCCTTCGTCATCAACCCCGGTGAGAGGATCGACTTCATTATCAACACCACCAACACAGTGGACAACTACTGGATTCGGGCACAGACTCTCGAGGAAGGCGTGGATCACAAGGCGGAAGCTATTCTCAGATACGAAGGAGCGCCTGATACAGAGCCAGCTACTTTCAGAAGAACATGCACGGAGACTGATCCCTGTCGAGTTGTCAACAGCCCCTTCACCTACTTCCCTATAAGTAACACTAAAACAGTGAGGTTCGACGAGCTCAAATCTTTGCCTGACGATGATCCAGCTCCTCCAGTTACTCCTGGGAAGTTTAAAGAACACTTCCTCAACTTTGCTTTTCCTGGCTATACACACTACCCAGGTCAAGTGAATGGACATAAATTCAAGATGCCGAACGTTGCGGCTCTGACCCAGTTGGACGAAATTACGACATTTTGTGACAAAACAGACTGTGGGTTCAACAGGACGTGTCATTGTACGTACACCCTCAACCTCACCTACGGGGACACTGTTCAGCTGGTTATCCTCAACATGGGCAACGGGAAGGGATGGTCTCATCCTGTTCATCTGCACGGACATTCCTTCTACGTGCTCAAGATGGGCTATGCCATACAAAATAGTTCCACGTATCAAATCGAAGACAGCAATCCGGATATAAGCTGTAACGGAGATCCTTTTTGTAATGCTGCTAGATTTGCAAACTCTTCATGGACGGGGGATAACATTCCGGGTCTGGAGCTGAAGAACACCCCGCGGAAGGATACCATAATAGTTCCAACTGGTGGTTACGTGGTTGTGAGAATCCGCGCTGACAACCCTGGCGTGTGGTTCATGCATTGCCACATTGAGATGCACAACGCTGACGGGATGGCCATGATGATCAACGAAGCTCAGGACATGCATCCTGCTCCGCCAGAGAACTGGCCTCGATGTTCGGAATTTGGTCCGGAAGTGATATACAAGACGAAACCTAACGGATCAGACAAAAAGAACGATACTGAAAAGACTAGCCCCAACGAATGTAAGTTTAGATCACTATCCCTTTTAATCTAAAACTGAGAGGTCCTGGAGCTCATGTTGGTTCTAGTCCAAACACAGTGTCGAGGTCCTAAGTATATTTCTTTGAAGATTAGTGTTTATAGTTTGTAGTCCTTTATTCAGAATATTGGCAGTTAGCAAAACTGACCTTTTTTAATCTCAGTGTTAAGGATAACAAGATCGATGTTCAAGAATGACGTGACCTGATTTTCAGTTGGAACCAGCATCACTTGGTTTGTGTTTCAGAAGTGTACCAGCATGACATGTTACGTGTTACATGTACCAGCATGCCATGTTACGTGTTACATGTACCAGCATGACATGTTACATGTTACATGTACCAGCATGACATGTCACGTGTTGCATGTACCAGCATGACATGTCACGTGTTGCATGTACCAGCATGACATGTTACGTGTTGCATGTACCAGCATGACATGTTACGTGTTACATGTACCAGCACGACATGCCATGTGTTACATGTAACAGCATGGCACGTTATGTGTTACATGTACCAGCATGACATGTTACGTGTTGCATGTACCAGCATGACATGTTACGTGTTGCATGTACCATCATGACATGTCACGTGTTACATGTACCAGCACGACATGCCATGTGTTACATGTACCAGCATGACATGTAAAGTGTATCAGTGGTGTTTCAGCATGACACGTTATGTGTAACATGTACCAGCATGACATGTTACGTGTTGCATGTACCAGCATGACATGTTACGTGTTGCATGTACCAGCATGACATGTCACGTGTTACATGTACCAGCACGACATGCCATGTGTTACATGTACCAGCATGACATGTAAAGTGTATCAGTGGTGTTTCAGCATGACACGTTATGTGTAACATGTACCAGCATGACATGTTACGTGTTGCATGTACCAGCATGACATGTTACGTGTTGCATGTACCAGCATGACATGTTACGTGTTGCATGTACCAGCATGACATGTTACGTGTTGCATGTACCAGCATGACATGTTACGTGTTGCATGTACCAGCATGACATGTTACGTGTTACATGTACCAGCACGACATGCCATGTGTTACATGTACAGCATGCATGACATGTTACGTGTTGCATGTACCAGCATGACATGTTGACATGTTACGTGTTGCATGTACCAGCATGACATGTCACGTGTTACATGTACCAGCACGACATGCCATGTGTTACATGTAACAGCATGACATGTAAAGTGTATCAGTGGTGTTTCAGCATGACACGTTATGTGTAACATGTACCAGTATGACATGTTACGTGTTGCATGTACCAGCATGACATGTTACGTGTTGCATGTACCAGCATGACATGTCACGTGTTACATGTACCAGCACGACATGCCATGTGTTACATGTAACAGCATGACACGTTATGTGTGTACAGCATGACATGTGTAACATGTACCAGCATGACATGTTACGTGTTACATGTACCAGCATGACATGTTACGTGTTGCATGTGCATGATCAGTGGTGTTTACCAGCAGCATGCGTGACATGTACCAGCACGACATGTGTTACATGTAACCATGACATGTAAAGTGTATCAGTGGTGTTTCAGCATGACACGTTATGTGTAACATGTACCAGCATGACATGTTACGTGTTGCATGTACCAGCATGACATGTTACGTGTTGCATGTACCAGCATGACATGTTACGTGTTACATGTACCAGCATGACATGTCACGTGTTACATGTACCAGCACGACATGCCATGTGTTACATGTAACAGCATGACATGTCACGTGTTACATGTATCAGCATGACACGTTATGTGTAACATGTACCATGACACGTTACGTGTTACATGTACCAGCACGACATGCCATGTGTAACATGTAACAGCATGACATGTCACGTGTTACATGTAACAGCATGACACGTTATGTGTAACATGTACCAGCATGACACGTGTTACATGTACCATCATGACATGTTACGTGTTACGTGTACCAGCATGACATGTCACGCTTTTTACATGTACCAGCATAACATGTCACGTGTTGCATGTACCAGCATGACATTTCACGTGTTACATGTACTAACATGACATGTCACGCTTTTCACATGTACCAGCATGACATGTCACGTGTTACATGTACCAGCATGACATGTTATGTGTATCAGTGGTGTTTCAGCATGACATGTTCTGTGTTTCAGTGATGGTCCGGCATGACGTGTTCTGGACCGTGGTTGGCTGTCTGATCGGGATCTGCGCCCTCCAGTTCCTCATCCTGCTCTGTATGTGCTGCCGGCGATGCGAGGGGTCCGGCCGGGAGAAGTACTCCATGGAGAATTACCCTGACGCGAAAATAAATCACGCTTTTGATAATTTAGACGGTGATCTGAATAGTAAACAGAAATTTTAAATCATATTGACGGAAAGTTTATGTTTATTCAATGCCGTCGAATGGATATTTACACAAAGTGGAAACCATCTAAAAAATTAATTACATTTTTATAATTATATTATACTGTAATAATCATGTTTTTAAAATCATTGAATACATTGAATAAGAAAAGGATGGTTTAAGTTAGGACAGCGTCAATCAAGCATGAGCACCGTGTATGGAGTTTTTGTCGCCATCGCATAAAGGTTTATGGATTCAGGAGATCTTTATCTTTTAGTTGTCAACAATTTGACAAGGTTGAGGGGGTAACCATGCTCTCTATGGGGTTGATGGGGTGGGGGTGGGGATTGGTTGCGAGTGGGGGTGGAGGAGGGGGAATATGTATCCTATTAAACTGGCCTTTATTAACCCGGTGTATACTAGTGAATGAAGTGTAAGTCAGATTACAGGGTGACGTTGCCTTTTCAGGAGTACTTGTGGAGGAACGTCGTGTTTGTGTGTAACGAATCTCAGCATTGTCCTTTCTTCCGGTGCCAGGGAGTTATCTCCCTTGTCTCTGTGCACTTTGTATATTTAACTTTTAAAACGTCACTTATGTATCATGTAACCATTTACACACGATTCTTGTTTCTTGGTTTTATTTGACTCAAGGGAAATTATGTTCACTTTTCCATGGAGGCGATTGTGGTGTGGCCAGGTTTCAAGGATTTTACGACGTTTTACTGTCAAACTATAATAGCCACAAGAAAAGTCATGACACTCTCTGTTGAAATAGATTTCAGTATATGAGTTAATCGAAGATGGATGATAATGGATAATGTTAAATATATGTAGACTTTGGTTGGTTGTTGGTCCTGAAACCTTGTTGAATGACATTCCACAGAAACTTGTAAAACAACATTCAATAAGTTTTCTTTTATGGATAGGAAAGCAGACACGATATCACACCAAGGGAGAATGGTGGGAAAGGTGTAACAATAAGAAATGAACTTGAAAACTACATAAAGTGGAATAACTATACCGTATACATTTTACTGCTTGGTCTCAATGCAGATATCTTGTTTCTAGAGTGTTCATTTACCCTTGTGAATTCAGAATGGTAGAAGTGTTTTACTAACCCTGAAATTACAAATGGTGTTTTATTATGACAATTGTTTTTATTGTATATACTGTCTGTCTTATTGAATGCCTTAAGGGTTTTGCCGGTTTCTTCCATTTTCCAGAGGCACAAATCGGATTTTAAAAAGTGTTTTATTTAGCGGATATTAATGCTTTGAGTGTCTTGTACAAACGTATTTATCAACGAATGTTTGACATTTTTTATTATTCTTTCATCATTTTATTACATAGATTTCACGTATGCTTTGATTTTATTACATTTACTTTGGCATTCTATATTGTATAAAGGTGTCCATTGCAAATTATTTTCTGTATTGAGAAACGTAGTCAAAGCATGTCCATGAATAACGAACTATACTACCACAAAGCATTTGATTGTGGAGTTAGGCAAGGGCCTGTGCTTAGTCCTTTTCTATTTGCAATGTTTATGTCACGATTTCAACCCATGTTAGAGGAGGAAGACTTAAGAGGCATATCTATAGGTGCATATTATCATGTTGCTACTGAAAAGCTCAAAAGAATGAATACAACCGAGAAAAAACACAATGACCAAAAGATTCCATGGTAACTTATACTCAGATTTTGTTGACTGGTTGGTTTCTGGGTCATACATACACTTCCAGTCAAAAGCTTAGACTCACTAGTGTAAATGTAGCCACTTACTTCAGTCAACTAATCTAAACTAGATTTGGCAAAATATTCTATACAGCTTAAGGGTACTGTTTACACATGAACTGATGTATTGTAAAACAATGAGTTCATGAGTTCAATAAATGATGAAACACAGTGAAAATTGGCGAATTCTTAACAAAACTTTATACCAAAACGAAGCTGTTCACATGCACGACATTTGCACATACGTTTCAGCAAGTTGAAGCATGATCCTCGTGCAATTCATCCGCATAAGGTTTGCAGTTGGTTCCCCCAAGTTAGTGGAGAAATTCATTCTCGATGTAACCACATGTATAAACATAACATATAGTGAGTGTTTTAAGTGAGCCTAAACCTTTGATGGGTAGTATAGTTGCCGTCTTGTCAGTCTGTCTCCATCCTCGTCGATTTGAGTACCTTCGGATAAGTTCTCCCCCAAGTTGTTATATCCGCCATTGTGATGGGCAAAACTTGAAGCACCTGTGTTCAGGCCGTGTTTGAACTCTTTGTGGGTCATATCAGTCTTCAAACTGCTGATTTGTAACACTTCAAATGTGAGTAAGTTTTATTATCAACCACTCTGACGTTGTGTGATCATCCCGAGTGTGACATTATTCTTCCAGGTGACTATAATGCACGAACTGGTAATTGGAAATGCTTTATCATTGACAATGATAATAAATTCATAATATGTTAGAAAACATGGACTATGTGTCTGATTGACTTTCATCGATATTCTGGGGATGAAATGTTTAATGACTCCGGAAGAGATCTTGTGGCGTTTTTTTGTAAATTTGCTGTCTTGTTTAAAAAGGTTTTAGGGTAGACATGTGGAACATATTTCGAAATTTGATGCGTCAGTGACAGATTTGACGTCCGATGCAATTCGTTATTTCGACTTGTACCATACGTTCCGGATACTGTTACCGGTGAACAATGGCTGTACATTGTATATATTTATGACGGGTAGGGGTGGATAAGCTCACCTTACCGCGAAGCCTGGTATCATCACTTTTTCATAGTGATTCATAAACACATGCTCTGTCATTAAATCTCATATTGTCAATCACTGGTTTGTGCGACCCACACTCAATTGTTTACAGACCGCGTCGTACAGCTGAAATATTGCTGAATGTGGCGTCAAACAAACACATACTAATGATGTTGCAAGAATTGTAAAACCGACTCTGCTTTTAACAAAGATTTCTTACGTGATGTGGAAAGGGATTTGTCGTTTCTGTTTTATGGAAACAATGATCTTATACTTGTTTTAAGGCGAGCGGTGCTGGTTTGGTTGATTTCACTAGTTCTTGTTTTATTTCCCTGACTTCAGAGTAGATACTCGCAGTGAATCAGGTCATTTTCCCATCATACTGACATTCCATGGTTGTGATAAACACATATAGATAATAGCAATGATAAAGGGGAAGAACCTCACGTAAATGATATCCTAATATCTACCTGGAGAAATAATATGTGATTCTTTCAGATTCTTTCAGAGATGCTGTTTGTTAGCCTCTGGTTTCACGTAGCCTTGACTGCTAAGGTCAGGGAGTAATACCCAGGTGTCTGTGCACTTTGTATATATAACTTAATAAAAATCATTTATTTTTTATAAAACCGTTTCATGTTTTTCATGTTTTTATTTAGCTTATGGTCACTTCTGTTTTGGCATCGTCGTTACCTCGACTGTGTGCCTGTGTGCCTGTGTGGAAACAGTTGGATAAGGGGAAGTTACTCTTCTGTAGACACTTTATTTGAAGGCTCTTAATTCATAAACATCTCACAAATAAAGGTTGTAAGTTCGGCGCAGATCTTTGTAGATTTTGCTTAAGTGTTTGACTGGGTTAACTGTAACACATTATGGGTAATACCTCGTTCTCAAAGACGGGGTAGTAACATGAATACACAATGCCATTTAGAAAGTGGTCAGATGTAACATATGTTAGATTTGGGATTACATTTTCTTAGTAAAGTACAAATTCTAGTACTTTTGTTTGGTTGAGTCCCATTCGAACCCACAGAGTCAGGCACCTAAGCGGCAGCACACAAAGTCAGACGCATCCCGGCTTACACGACCGGAAGGTATAAATACACATTGGTATTTAGAAAGTGGTCAAATGTAACATATGTTACTGTGTACTGGCAATTAGATGCCTGACTCTGACGGTGTGGGCTCGAATCCCGGATGGGACTCAACCAAACAAAAGTACTAGAATCTGTACTTTACTAAGAAAGTGTAATGCCAAATATAGCAGGCGTTATGGTAGTAACATGTTGAATTATCATTTAGTATATATGAAAATGTTAAGTCCAGTGTTAGCGGTGATAGCATGATCTCTGTTTTGTTTGAAAGTACCACAGGTGTAAGACAAGGATCTGTACTAAATCTCTTTCTTTTCACATATTCTTATTAATGACTGAGTTGAGAAAATAGAAAGTAAGTGTAAAGGTGGCATGCACTCCCATCCTGATGCAGTAAGACTATGTTGACTTGTTGGGGCGTATTATCAAAGCGGGAGAAACGGTTTTATATATGTGGGAAAGTCGAAGTTGTTAAGTGAGTGAGTGAATGAGTTTAGTTTTACGCCGCTTGTAGCAATATTCAAGCGGCCGGGGACACCAGAAATGGGCTTCACATATTGTACCCATGTGGGGAATCGAACCCAGGTCTTCGGCGTGACGAGCGAACGCTTTAACCACTACGCTACCCCACCGCCCCGGAAGTTGTTAAGAGCTATAAGTACCTGGGAGTAAAATTTCCAAGAACTATATTTTGCAGTTTAATTTAATAAAGACTTCAACACAAGAGCAACGATATTCTTTGGAATATAAATAATCTAAAACTTTTAGACAGAATATATTGTAATGTTCTCTTGAAATGTTTTACATAAAATTTAGTCCTGGTCTTGCACATAGTAAACTTTTGTAATAGTGGATACGGTCAATCAACTTATAGATATCCAAGATAGTGTTATGATATGAATTTGTTAGTCGATAAATTAGGAAAGAAAACTGTGTTTTATCTGTATGAAAGCTCATTAATGAGGAAAGTTACTCTTATCATTCATGTAGAATTATGCTAATATACTTATTAGAAGGTGCTCTCAAAGACTGAAGGACATTTATGTTCACAATTTGCACTATTCATCAACAAAACTTCAGTCTTATGGTATGCTTTAACAACGAAAGTACACTTCATGAAACCACTTCTCTGTAAATATAGTTCACATTGCATTGAGATGTTCATTACATTCATTGTTTATTTCAACAGGACCATATTGTAAAAATAGACGCTGCAATTTTGCTCTCTGAAACCTAAGATAGAAGGAGGGAACCATTACACCCTGAATCATCTTATACTTCAATGTGGATGGCAATATAGCAATGTTTACCAGCAAAAAATCTTGTTTGGCTGCACAAGTTACTTTCACGAAAACTGCGACCCTGTAGGATTGGTTATCATGTATTAATTACGCACGATTACACTTAACAAAACAATGGGGAAATATATGCATAACTTGAAATTTTATACTTTTTATAAATAGCTGTGATTCTGCGAATCTGTTGTCTGGAACTATACTATAAGGGAACGATGCTTTAATATCTTGTTATTTTACCCTTTTTCTCAGTAAGGAATTCAATGGTGATTCTAATAATCATACGATCTCTGCTTAATGGTAACAGTTGTGTTAATTTAAGGAACTTAAATAGGAAATATAGAAGTGTTACTCCGTGACGTCAAGCTGCTGATAGTCAGTGTCATCATACAGTGATTTCCAATGCAAGATATCCATAACAAGAACACTAACGGTCTGAATATAAAGACCTACTGTATAATACTGTCTCGGTTCTAATGGGGGCGGTGGGGTAGCCTAGTGGTTAAGCGTTCGCTCGTCACGCCGAAGGCCCGGGTTCGATTCCCCGATTCGATGTTTTGTAGTCAATCGGCCCATGTGCAGGTACATTGGTAGGTAAATACGATAGTCAAGATGTTATCAGTCAAAACAGTTTTACATTTAAAATCTTCCTAAACAAACTTTTAATCAGAACCATTATCATTGATAGTGTGGGGTAGCCTAGTGGTTAAGCGTTCGCTCGCCACGCCGAAGGCCCGGGTTCGATTCCCCACATGGGTACAATGTGTGAAACCCATTTCTGGTGTCCCATGTCGTGACATTGCTGGATTATTGCTAAAAGCGGCGTAAAGCTAAACTCACTCACTCTTTACTAATGTAAATATTCATCAAGAAAAATCCAATGAGATATGATGTAGTGAGTTTGTGAGCTTGCTCTAACGGCGCTTTGAACACCATTTCAGTTATAACACACAGCGTGTCATCTTGTTGTAGGAGATAATGGTTTTCATTTAGCATTACGATCTGTTGTGGCACTTTTATACTGATGAGGGGCGATGGGAAACCTAAAGGTTAAAGCTTCCGCTCGTCACGCTGAAAACCCGGTTCGATTTCCCATTTTTGGTGTCCCCCGCCATGATATTGCTGGAATAGTGCTAAAAGCGGCGTAAAACCATATTCACTCAGTCCGTTGTACTGATGACTTTGCTACTAATGTTCCAAATAGCCATATTTCATTGGAGGAGATTGAAGTAGCCGTAAAAGATTTCACTAACACTATTTATAGTTTGGGTTTTAAATTTTTTTTTGTTTATGTAACTTGTGCAAGTATGGATAAAACCTAAATATTAGTATTTCGTAATGGTGGTTATTTACCATGAGATGAACTGACACTAAAACAGTAACTCTTTATGACTGTTTTGGCGTCATGTTTTCAAATAGATTGTCATGCACTGTAAACACACTTGTATCAAGAGGCAGCGAAGAACTGTTTGTCATAAAGCATTACGATCTGTTGTGGCACTTTTATACTGATGAGGGGCGATGGGAAAACTAAAGGTTAAAGCTTCCGCTCGTCACGCTGAAAACCCGGTTCGATTTCCCATTTTTGGTGTCCCCCGCCATGATATTGCTGGAATAGTGCTAAACGCGGCGTAAAACCATATTCACTCAGTCCGTTGTACTGATGACTTTGCTACTAATGTTCCAAATAGCCATATTTCATTGAGGGGATTGAAGTAGCCGTAAAGATTTCACTAACACTATTTATAGTTTGGGTTTTAAATTTTTTGTTTATGTAACTTGTGCAAGTATGGATAAAACCTAAATATTAGTATTTCGTAATGGTGGTTATTTACCATGAGATGAACTGACACTAAAACAGTAACTCTTTATGACTGTTTTGGCGTCATGTTTTCAAATAGATTGTCATGCACTGTAAACACACTTGTATCAAGAGGCAGCGAAGAACTGTTTGTCATAAAGCATTACGATCTGTTGTGGCACTTTTATACTGATGAGGGGCGATGGGAAAACTAAAGGTTAAAGCTTCCGCTCGTCACGCTGAAAACCCGGTTCGATTTCCCATTTTTGGTGTCCCCCGCCATGATATTGCTGGAATAGTGCTAAACGCGGCGTAAAACCATATTCACTCAGTCCGTTGTACTGATGACTTTGCTACTAATGTTCCAAATAGCCATATTTCATTGGAGGGGATTGAAGTAGCCGTAAAAGATTTCACTAACACTATTTATAGTTTGGGTTTTAAATTTTTTTTTGTTTATGTAACTTGTGCAAGTATGGATAAAACCTAAATATTAGTATTTCGTAATGGTGGTTATTTACCATGAGATGAACTGACACTAAAACAGTAACTCTTTATGACTGTTTTGGCGTCATGTTTTCAAATAGATTGTCATGCACTGTAAACACACTTGTATCAAGAGGCAGCGAAGAACTGTTTGTCATACAGCGGTCACAGCATGAATTTTCAAACATTCCTGTAAATGTGTTCTTCAAATTGTTGGGCCGAAAAATGGCACTGATAAATTTAGTTTTTATAGATATGTTCAGGAGCGTATGTAAACATGTATCAAGTAGCGCAGCTTTGCTGAATGTGTCAGAATTAATCACAGTCATGTACAGTAGTAGCGAAGAAGTGTACAATATTGGTGTGAATTGTAGGAATGTCCAAAGCACGCTCGCTATCACAAACAATGTTATATTCTCTTTAAACAAACGTAACAGACGTCAATATATGGAAATTAAGAAGATATATATGTTTGCTGCGATTTAATGAAATATCATTACCTTGTAACGCTAGGTGTAAAGAAACTGTACCTTTTAATAGAACATATGATATACTAATAGCATTGAAACTGAGATTCGCTTTATATTTGAATGTGACGATTATGTGTTATTAAGCAATAAGTACATATCAACTTGGAATAATTTCACAGACCATTAAACATTTAATAAAATATTGTCATCAAGCGAGTTTTTAACAATATTCTAGCAACATCACGGCGGGGGACACCAGAAATGGCCTTCACACATAGTACTCATGTGGGGATCGAACCCGGGTCTTCGGCGTGACGAGCGAACGCTTTAACTATTAGGCTACCCCACACTATCAATGGTAATGGTTCTGATTAAAAGTTTGTTTAGGAAGATTTTAAATGTAAAACTGTTTTGACAGATAACATCTTGACTATCGTTTGTACCTACCAATGTACCTGCACATGGGCCGATTGACTACAAAACAGAAATAAACTCTCTTATAATTACAAACCACACTCCCCCTTTTGTTTGTGGAACGTGTTAGATATAACGGAAGTTGGGAGTTTACACGCTACGGAGTGGATCACGTTTTGCAAGATAATATCTTGTATATCGTATGTACCAGCTAGTTGACATACATGTATTAACTTACATTATCTATATTTATACAGTGGCCGGTGGACTATAAAAGAGAAATAAACTCTCTCTCAACCAACGCCCCCTTCGAAAGGAACCTGTTTGGCACAGGTCACGTGACGGATCACTTACTAAGGGTTGTGTACACAACTTTGTGTTGACACACCTTGACTGCAAACCCGCATCAGAAATGACATGAAACTATTGCTCAGTGCGTGAGGTAAACTGTGTGTGCGTTCATATTATTTACAGTAATCTTGCTGTTTTGCGAGATGGAGATCGTATTGACCTTCTGTTCATTGACCTTGAAACATCACTCATAGAGGTCTCTTCTATAAGTGTTGAGTTGAATGTGAAGCCCATTTCTGGTGTCCCCCGCCGTGATGTTGCTGGAATATTGCTAAAAGCGGCGTAAAACCAAACCAAACCAACAGTCAGTTGAGTTGAAAACAAATGAATCTTATGAAGGAATAGAAAATGCCATAACCAAGTTTGCACAAATGTATTCAGATAACATGCGAAGGAGTTACAAACTACTGTCATAGCGACTGATTAAAGGCAGTCATCGTCCAAATATTTTCTAAGGCCAAAAGCTATGTAGCCAAGACATGTAAGACTTAATTGCAATTATTATATGATGCTAATCTTATCAGCCAACCTGTACCTCTGTCACTCTCATTAATTACTGTGTAAGACAGTTACACTCTTAAAAATCCAAACGCATAGGTGAGAGAAATTTGAGAATATTAGACTCGTGTAACTGCAGCAAAAACAATACAAACATACTATTTCTTTCCAAAACGTCATCCTTGTGTGATTGTTAACAGCTTCAGCGCCAAAACGCGGCAATTTTAACTTTTTCCCTTGTTTTAGAAGCGTTTGAAGAAATATTCACCAAAACGTCATCAAGAAACATGCAAAGCAAAATGCACGTGCAAGTAAGTGTAAAAGCATGCGGTATCGATCACGATAAAAAGTCAAACGTTGTGTTTAATTTTCTTTGATTGGCATTCTAGAAGTTGAGGAGAGTAGTATATACAATGGGGCTACGGGACCAGGGCCCCCCAAGGGCTTAATTTAAAAATGAAATAAAAAATGAGCCCTTGGGAAGTCCTAAGCCCCATTTTGTATACTACTACTGACTTGCATGCAAAATTTGATGAAAATCGGTCGAACAGTTTCTGAAATATTTGACTTTTAAGCGAGCATGGGGTTGGTCGGGAAAAAAGGCTCGGGTCGCCTGGGGTGGTGGTTGCTCCTCCGAGCGCTGTTGGCGGACGAGTCGCAGTGCGTGTGGGTGTGCCTCTCCCGGCTTGGTGTACGGATGGCTGCCTGGCTGGCTACATTCAGCAGAAAAATAGGCATGCAAGACTGATAAAAAAATCATGACGAGAAACTATCATCACATGGTGGGTGATGTGTAAGGAACTGTGTCGTGAGGTACGATCATCAACTCCTCTGATGAAAATGCTCTCGGTGGTCCGTCTTTCAAATAGTACAAGGTCGGTTCGCCGTCTTTGATGTCGAGAAGGTCTACGTTGTACGTTTTCATGGACCATATCGGATCGGTGGCGCGCTTTCTGCTGTCTCCCTCATATTCTCCCGGCTGGTACAAGTACCTAACGCTGACACGGTCCAGTAATGTTTTCTCTGTTATATCAGGTACGACAGCATTCTCGTTTTTTAACCGTCTCCTTGTTGGCGCTGCAGTCGTCCAGGATGAACACCCTAGTGTTAAGCGTGCAACCAGTCCTGCAGACGAATTCCAGGATCGATTTTGTGCACGTCAGGGTCCGTCATCACCCACGGTCTCTCCGTGTACGTCTTGTTCACCTGTAAAGTCGGGCAGAGAATGACGATGTGGTCGAACACGTTGCGATAGTATCCTTCCAGCATGTTCAGCATGAAAGCCGTCTGGCCACACCCCGTCTGACCGCACACGATGGCGCAGTGGGGGTCGCAAGGTAAATCAATAAATGGCTTGCTCGAATCTTCCATTTTCTATATTGAGTTGCACGTCCATAATCACGTACAAATATAATTTTAACTTGTCGGCCGGATTTTGAGCTTTCTTGGTGATTTGGATGGTGATCCCCTTGCTGCCGTTGGCAATAACACGTCCGCTGCCGTGTAGTCTGTCATCATCCGTGGATCGCATGTCCAGCCACAGCGCGTAATGCTTATCCAGGTACCTACTGAGCGTCACGTAGGTGAAACCCAGGTCTTTGACGATGTCGTTGACTTCAGGCGAGTGTCACTTGATGGCCGGTAGTTTTCTTATCTCGTCCCACTGCTGGTAAGCTCGCATGCCTTGGCTGAACAGCTGGTTCGGCACACCCTCGAAGGTCACTTTCACTTTCGTGATCTTGGGATTCCAAGTGAGTTTGCTGTCTCTTTGAAACGTCTTGTATTCCGCCACGTAAATGATCAAGATGCCTTTCATCGATTGAGCCTGCACATTCAGGTTGATGTTCCACAACGTTTCGCTCTTGTCCCTGACGATCGTCCGGTGCCGCAACACGCGGTCGTACAGGATGGACAGCTTTTTCGAGTACTGGGTGCGAATCTGCCGGGCCAGATTCGTGTTCGTGACCATGTCGAACTCCAGTGAGATGTTGTTGACGATTTTAGCTGGCCTCAGTGCCGTCCGGCATGAAGATAACTTTGCCGTAGTCGTTGAACATGAGTTCGTATTCCAGCCTGTTCCCCAGCGCGGCCTGGTAAAACGGCATGTGCCCCTCAAGCAGCTCAAAGTTGAGCGGTATGTAAAACCGATTCCCGTACGCCTCGACGACGGCTTTTTCTCCTGCTGTTATATTGCCGAGATGGTCTTGCGTGAAACCGTACCCCACACGGATTTCATTCGATTCGTCATTATTCCGATTAAGTCCTTGATACGCCATGTCATCGTGTTCTTCCGAGGTTCTCCAGAGGTCCCTGTAACAGTAAAACACGTTGCTGTCGTCGATGCTCAGCACCTCGTTCCCGCTGATTTTGATGGTGGTTTTCTTGACGATGGCACGACCAAGGTTGTTCATGATCGTGCATTTGTCGTTCACGGACTCCAACATGAGTCCAAAGATGACGCTGGGACGATGACGTCGTTCCCGGCAAGGTTGGGGAATCAAACCAGCAGCGTTTGGTTTGGATCGATCGTGCTCGGATTGTTGGTGATGGTCACCGAATGACGCACAGCTTTGACAGCGAGCCGATCTCTCTATTTTCGGAAAGGATATAGCTTTCGTCCGTATTGCGTCATTGTTTATATTGAACTATGTATATTATAAGTTTAACATAAAAATGGCGGACGATATTCCCATGGACGATTTCGACGTACACCAGCTGAACAACGACGATGATGCAGCAGCAGCCATGGACACCTCGTTCATGGGGAACACCGTGGGCAACGAGCTTTAAAAACAGTCTGTGGACGAGTATTACAATGCTTTCAAGCGCAAGACAAATTACGTCGAAACATTGGGTCGCGGCTATCCGAAGTTCAAAATCGACAACGAAGGGACGTTGTGATTGAAAGCTTATCCGGAGGTTGATCTCATGAACAAACGCATGAGAAAACCGCTTGCCCTGTCGGCGCTAGCCAGTCATGGTGGTGGTAGTCAACTTCCGCCGAAGGTCGTCCGAGATCTGCAAAATGTAAGGACCGAACTCAGTGGTGCTGGCGCTGCCAATCCGAGAGAAATGCCCCAGAGCGCCAAAGAAGTGTCGGACGAAATCGAAAAAATATTGGTCACGTACTCGAACGAACCCTTGCCCGGTTTCGAATTTCCTCTTATGGAACTTCGGGGTCTAGACAAAGCCTTGACAAACGTGCACAGAGAACTCGTGAACAACATGGGTAAACTGAACGAAATCGACGAGCACATCACTCGCGAGAAAAGAAAACTCAGGATAGTGGACGACGACGACGAAGCCATGAAAAACATCATTGAGAAAAGATTGCGCAACCTGGAAGCCGAGAGACGGACCAGATTGGAAGTCGCTTCCTCCAACCGGGAAGACCCCCGATCACAAATTAGGCGCGTGCGTGAAACCATAGACCAAGTCTTGAATGAGGACACCACGTTGGCCGACAGGATCCTAATTCTGTTCCGGGAACAAGGAATCACCATCACCAGCGTTCTCACGGCTTTGGGCTTCATCATATCGACCCTGGTCGTGTTGCTGACGGGGGGTGGTGGCACACCACCAAGCCCATCATCATCAGGCGACGACGTCAGATACTGGATCAAAAAAACATTTGAAATCTCTCGGCGAAGCCCTGGCGAAACTGGCCGGCATAGCCGCCGAAGCGCTGCCTGGCATCTTGGGCAGCATCGTTTCCGGGTTGTAAGGCTTCTTCTGCAAAACCGTCATGTGTCTCGGTCAAAACCTGTGGGCTTTCATCGTCACTGCGGTGGGTCTGATGTACGTCGCGGTTAAGCAATTTGTAACCAAATGAGGCACAGTCCAACCACGATCCCGCCGACCACCAACGCAGTTTTGCGATGGACATGCCGCTGATTGTTTGCCTGAACGTGCGGGGGCAGCTGCTGCTGTTGTTGTGGTGGTGCTACTTCTACTTCCTGTGTGGGTACCACGATGCCCGTTTCCTACTGCGACACAACTCGACTCGTGTCGAGTGACGTCCACTCTGTTCACCCTCAGTCGTATGTCGCTCGGAGCCATGTACAGTTCCGCACCGAACACGTAGTCGACTTTCGACCGGGCGTATTCCAGCGCGTCATAGCGTTCAATGGCACTCGGTAGATCGACCGGTCTAGCAATGGCATCCTCGACATTAGCCACGAATTGTTTCTGCGCGTCATAGGCCGTCCCTTCATGACCCACGATGCTGGAACGCGTTTGCGTCTGAGCACCCAGCACGGCCCACACATACGTACTGTTTTCACATTCGTGACCGAAAACCTGTAATTTTTAAACACGTCAATGAACCGAACCATGAAATGTAAACCATCCTTTGCATTGACCACAATACTCGGTTGCGTGAGATAGGTAGCACTTTTATTGTCAGTTTTAGAATAAAACACTCCCGGTTTGTACATATTTGAATTGTTATATTTTAGTATACATATCTACTTTTCAATATGTACGTGACGCTTCCGGGAATCACGAGCGACGAGTCCATTCAACTGCTGCACGCGATCGATAAGTCGCGCTCTGCGATATCACCTACTACCCGCGATGGACCAGCATCAACGGTAAAAACAACAGGCTGTTCGTCAATAACGCCCACAACCAAATAACGGACGGCTACTACAGCGTGTGCTCGCTTCAAACCCGTGGGAGCTGAACTCAAAATGAACGACTCGAACGGCACGGTCATGTTAGCCAACAACAGAAAAAACGACTTGAGACTCAGTCGGCCGTTGGCTAAAACGCTCGGGTTTACGTCAAACGACATACCACCGGAAACAACCGTGACAGGCACGAAATTACCCGATCTCGTTCAGTATCATGAACTGTGCATTCATCTCAATCAGTTGAGCACGACCGACAACTTTCAAGGCGAACGACCTTCCACACTGCTAAGAGCCGTGCCTGTGAAAACGGAAAAGTACAACGACGCCAGAACCGAATCGTTTTCGTTGCGGCATTACAAGAAATTAATCCGAAGCAACATCACGGAATTGAAAATATCGGTTTTAGATGTTAAACACGATCCCGTAAGTATAATATATCTCAGCGCGACGCTGCACATGGTCCAGGAACACGCATTAGAAAATACACCAACATAGCAATCTCCGACCTCGGGGACACATGCGGATTCCACGAACCCCGAGTCGACGGCAAACTGTACGCCTTGCAACTGAAAAACAGAATTTACAAACGCGTCGACCTAGGCGATTTCGTTGATACCGAAGGAGCGGTCAACAACATGCGATACGACCTGAACTGCAACGACGAAGACGAATGGACAATAACCCCAGCGTTCCACGGCAGGCTGTTCCACCCGGACGACGTCGAGGTCACGGCCATCTCCAGAAACACGCAGTACATTCTCATCTTCAACAACGACAACAAATGGGTATCAGTGCCATCCAAAATCGACTGGAATCTTAACATCACGCTCGACTCTCCCCACGTTTTCACGGACAAGAAAGATCACTACCTGACGAAAGTCGTGAACAACGGAACGCTTCTCGTGGCTTACGTCCCTATGCAAAGACGCAGCATGATCGTCAGCACGTTGAGGCAAAGAGTAGCCCACATGCTGTCGAGCAAACCCGGGACGCAAAACGTGGGATTGCAGATGGTGTTGGAATTCGACAACGTGGTAGATGTCCTGGAAAATCTGCCAGCAAAATCCACGCTGTACATCCAAGTCTACCTTGGCGAACCGCCGTCGGCGCGTGACGTCGTCGAAATCGTAAAAAAAGAGTATATATACAGGATGGGAATGTACCCAGTCGTGGATGAAGTAGCAAAAACACTGGAAA